ATGCAAGGAGGGAAGAGTATATGGAGAAAAAGAGAGAGGTTAAGAGAGTGGTGAAGCAATGTAAAAAGAGAGCAAATGAGAGAGTGGGTGAGATGTTATCAACAAATTTTGTTGAAAATAAGAAAAAGTTTTTGAGTGAGATTAACAAGTTAAGGAAGCCTAGAGAACAAATGGATTTGTCAGTTAAAAATAGAAGGAGAGTTATTAAATGGAGAGTTAGAGGTATTGGGAAGATGGAGGGAATATTTTGAGGAATTGTTAAATGTTGATGAACATAGGGAAACTGTGATTTCGTGTATAGGGCAAGGAGGAATAACATCTTGTAGGAGTGAGGAAAAGCCAGTTGTGAGTGTGGGGGAAGTTCGTGAGGCAGTAGGTAAAATGAAAGGGGGTAAGGCAGCCGGGATTGATGGGATAAAGACAGAAATGTTAAAAGCAGGTGGGGATATAGTTTTGGAGTGGTTGGTGCAATTATTTAATAAATGTATGGAAGAGGGTAAGGTACCTAGGGATTGGCAGAGAGCATGCATAGTTCCTGTGTATAAAGGAAAAGGGGACAAAAGAGGGTGCAAAAATTATAGGGGGATAAGTCTGTTGAGTATACCTGGTAAAGTGTATGGTAGAGTTATTATTGAAAGAATTAAGAGTAAGACGGAGAATAGGATAGCAGATGAACAAGGAGGCTTTAGGAAAGGTAGGGGGGTGTGTGGACCAGGTGTTTACAGTGAAACATATAAGTGAACAGTATTTAGATAAGGCTAAAGAGGTTTTTGTGGCATTTATGGATTTGGAAAAGGCGTATGACAGGGTGGATAGGGGGGCAATGTGGAAGATGTTGCAGGTGTATAGTGTAGGAGGTAGGTTACTGAAAGCAGTGAAGAGTTTTTACGAGGATAGTGAGGCTCAAGTTAGAGTATGTAGGAAAGAGGGAAATTATTTCCCAGTAAAAGTAGGCCTTAGACAAAGATGTGTGATGTTACCATTGTTGTTTAATATATTTATAGATTGGGTTGTAAGAGAAGTAAATGCGAGGGTCTTGGCAAAAGGCGTAGAGTTAAAAGATAAAGAATCACACATAAAGTGGGAGTTGTCACAGTTGCTCTTTGCTGATGACACTGTGCTCTTGGGAGATTCTTAAGAGAAGTTGCAGAGATTAGTGGATGAATTTGGTAGGGTGTGCAAAAGAAGAAAATTAAAAGTGAATACAGGAAAGAGTAAGGTTATGAGGATAACAAAAAGATTAGGTGATGAAAGACTGGATATCAGATTGGAGGGAGAGAGTATGGAGGAGGTGAATGTATTCAGATATTTGGGAGTGGACGTGTCAGCAGATGGGTCTATGAAAGATGAGGTGAATCATAGAATTGATGAAGGAAAAAGGGTGAGTGGTGCACTTAGGAGTCTGTGGAGACAAAGAACTTTGTCCTTGGAGGCAAAGAGGGGAATGTATGAGAGTATAGTTTTACCAACGCTCTTATATGGGTGTGAAGCATGGGTGATAAATGTTGCAGCGAGGAGAAGGCTGGAGGCAGTGGAGATGTCATGTCTGAGGGCAATGTGTGGTGTGAAAATAATGCAGAGAATTCGTAGTTTGGAAGTTAGGAGGAGGTGCGGGATTACCAAAACTGTTGTCCAGAGGGCTGAGGAAGGGTTGAAGTACAGTGCCTGCACTCTGAAGGAGGGGTGTTAATGTTGCAGTTTAAAAACTGTAGTGTAAAGCACCCTTCTGGCAAGACAGTGATGGAGTGAATGATGGTGAAAGTTTTTCTTTTTCGGGCCACCCTGCCTTGGTGGGAATTGGCCAGTGTCATAATAAAAAAAAAAAATGTATGAAAGTGGGGAAGGTACCTAGGGATTGGCAGAGAGCATGTATAGTCTATATAAAGGGAAGGGGGACAAAAGAGATTGTAAAAATTATAGAGGAATAAGTTTACTGAGTATTTCAGGAAAAGTGTACGGTAGGGTTATAATTGAAAGAATTAGAGGTAAGACAGAATGTAGGATCACAGATGAGCAAGGAGGTTTCAGAGAGGGTATGTGTAGATCAGGTGTTTACATTGAAGCATATATGTGTACAGTATTTAGATAAATGTAAGGGTATATGATAAAGTGGATAGGGGAGCAATGTGGCAGATGTTGCGAGTATATGGAATAGGTGGTAAGTTACTAAATGCTGCAAAGAGTTTTTATGAGGATAGTGAGGCTCAGGTTAGGGTGTGTAGAAGAGAGGGAGACTACTTCCTAGTAAAAGTAGGTCTTAGACAGGGATGTGTAACATCACCATGGTTGTTTAATATATTTATAGATGGGGTTGTAAAAGAAGTAAATGCTAGGGTGTTCAGGAGAGGGGTGGGATTAAATTATGGAGAATTAAATACAAAATGGGAATTGACACAGTTGCTTTTTGCTGATGATACTGTGCTTATGGGAGATTCTAAAGAAAAATTGCAAAGGTTAGTGGATGAGTTTGGGAGTGTGTGTAAAGGTAGAAAGTTGAAAGTGAACAAAGAAAAAGTGTAAGGTGATGAGGGTATCAAATGATTTAGATAAAGAAAAATTAGATATCAAATTGGGGAGGAGTATTTAAGAAGAGAATGTTTTCATATACTTGGAAGGTGACGTGTTGGCCGATGGATTTATGAAGGATGAGGTTAATCATAGAACTGACGAGGAAAAAAAGGTGAGTGGTGCGTTGAGGTATATGTGGAGACAAAAAAAAGTAATCTATGGAGGCAAAAAAGGGTATGCATGAAAGTATAGTATGTAGTAACAACACTCTTATATGGGTGTGAAGCTTGGGTTGTGAATGCAGCAGCAAGGAGGTGGTTGGAAGCACTGGAGATGTCCTGTCTAAGGGCAATGTGTGGTGTAAATATTATGCAGAAAATTCGGAGTGTGGAAATTAGGAGAAGGTGTGGAGTTAATAAAAGTATTAGTCAGAGGGCTGAAGAGGGGTTGTTGAGGTGGTTTGGTCATTTAGAGAGAATGGATCAAAGTAGAATGACATGGAGAGCATATAAATCTGTAGGGGTAGGAAAGCGGGGTAGGGGTCGTCCTCGAAAAGGTTGGAAGGAAAGGGTAAGGGAGGTTTTGTGGGCGAGGGGCTTGGACTTCCAGTAGGCGTGCATGAGCGTGATCGATAGGAGTGAATGGAGACGAATGGTATTTGGGACCTGACGATCTGTTGGAGTGTGAGCAGGGTAATATTTAATGAAGGGATTCAGGGAAACCGGTTATTTTTATATAGCCGGACTTGAGTCCTGGAAATGGGAAGTACAATGCCTGCACTCTAAAAAGGAGTTTGAGATATTAGCAGTTTGGAGGGATATGTCGTGTATCTTTATACGTATATGCTTCTAAACTGTTGTGTTTCTGAGCACCTCTGCAAAAACAGTGATTATGTATGAGTGAGGTGAAAGTGTTGAATGATGATTAAAGCCTTTTCTTTTTGGGGATTTTCTTTCTTTTTGGGTCACCCTGCCTCGGTGGGAGACGGCCGACTTGTTAAAAAAAAAAAAATATGCTTCAATGTAAACACTTGATATACACATCCCCTACCCACTATGAAACCTCCTTGCTCATCCACAATCCTACATTCTGTCTTACCTCTAAACTTTCAATTATAACCCTACCGTACACTTTTCCTGGTATACTCAGTAAACTTATTCCTCTATAATTTTTACAATCTCTTTTGTCCCCCTTCTCTATATATATAAAGGGACTATACATGCTCTCTGCCAATCCCTAGGTACCTTCCCCTCTTTCATAAATTTATTAAACAAAAATACCAACCACTCCAACACTATATCCCCCCTGCTTTTAACATTTCTGTCATGATCCCGTCAGTTCCAGCTGCTTTACTCCCTTTCATTCTACGTAATGCCTCACACACCTCCCCTACACCCACATTCTGTTCTTCTTCACTCCTAAAAGATGGTATACCTCCCTGGCCAGTGCATGAAATTACTGCTTCCCTTTCTTCGACAACATTTAAAAGTTCCTCAAAATATTCTTGCCATCTACCCAAAACCTCCATCTCCCCATCTACTAACTCCCCTACTCTGTTTTTAACTGACAAATCCATTCGTTCTCTAGGCTTTCTTAACTTGTTTAACTCACTCCAAAATTCTTATTTTCATTAAAATTACTTGACAGTGCCTCTCCCACTCTATCATCTGCTCTCCTTTTGCACTCTCTCACCACTCTCTTCATCTTTCTTTTACTCTCCATATACTCCTAATCTTCTTATAACACTTCTGCTTTGTATAAACCTCTCATAAGCTAACTTTCTCTCTTTTATCACACCCTTTACTTCTTCATTCCACCAATCACTCCTCTTTCCTCCTGCCCCCACCCTACTATAACCACAAACTTCTGCCCCACATTCTAATACTGCATTTTTAAAACTATTCCAACCCTCTTCACCCCCCCCCCCACTACTCATACTTACACCAGCCCACCTTTCTGCCAATAGTTGCTTATATCTCACCTGAACTTCCTCCTCCCTTAGTTTATACACTTTCACCTCCCTCTTGCTTGTTGTTGCCATTTTCCTCTTTTCCCATCTTCATATATCTGTCATTTTTTGTTACTTTTGCTTGATCTAAGTCATTTTCTATCCCTTTTGTGGTGTCTAAATTTTCATGTAATAAGGTTGTTTGACCTCTTATTCAGTAGATAAAATTTGCTTCCTACTCATTTCCTCCTCACTTAAAGTTTTGGCAATCTCTATTATATTAGGCGCATGTATAAGCCCACTGATTAACGAGCAAGCAACTTTGCTATAAACTATTCTAATTAATAAAAAATATTAGAATTTATTGTCAGTAATCATCACATGTTCATGTTTGAAAACTTAAATCAGTCATAAAACTGCTCATATTTATAAGGCTTAATTCACAGAGTAAAGTGAGCCACTGCATACTTTCTTATAAACTGAAAGCTCAAGTATAGCATTTCCGTACATTCTGTGCATTACAGAAAGACATTAGAAGACTTACAAAATTGGAGTCCATAATCATTTTGACAGCTTCCTTTCCAAACTTATCACAATACTGATGGTAGAGACGCTCTGATATTTCTGCTAAAGATGTCACTTTTGGCTCCTTATAAACATACTCCTTCCCTGCTTCCTCTTCAAAGTAGACCTGATAAAAATACAAAGCAGTTACATAAAAAGGAAACCATTAAAAGGCAAATATATACATACAGGAACATCTCTTATAAAGTGACATGACACAAGATTTCATATAAATGTGATTGAAAAAGTGCATCCAAAATTTCACAGAATGCTAAAAACAAACCTTGATAATAAATTTAAAAAGTTAGCTTACAAAATTTGGAAAGTACCCTCAATATACATATTTTCATAACCTGCTTGTCATGCCAGGAGCTGTGATTCAGCCCCCAATCTTGCACTAGTCTTGCTCAGTAGAGAGCATTTTTCTTACCTAACTGATATTTTCCAAAATTTATATAACTTGTGTTTAGTTTATATAAAACACCTGTATAAAAAGTTTGAAGAGCATATGCAGTATATATATATATATATATATATATATATATATATATATATATATATAAATTATATTATATTAATATATAAATATATAATTATATATTTATATATTATATCAGAATCCACAAAAGATCAATAGAAGACTTCATTCTGATTGTTAACCCCCAAAGGTTAGTAACCAAGTATCATACATTACCCATGCATTTAACAATGGTTTGTCTACTTTAGTTGTATTTCTACAATTCTTGAACTCATTAGAGATAGATAATAATGAGTGAATAAGTGTTTAGGTACAACACTTGAGGTGTTGAGGTACAACATACATCTTTACTGAGGCTCTGCCATGACACAAGCTTCCCAAACAGATTGCATATTCTATATATTCTTCACACCTAATTATTAGATAAGGCAAAGTAGTCTTTATCTGACAATAAACTAAGGGAAGATATATGAGCAGGTCTCCAGCCAGAGGATGATACCCCTGTCTTATAATCAACCTAGCAGCATTATGATGGCAGAGTTTGGCTTCAGTTTGGCCAAAGTGTGTGGCATAGCTGGCCAATTACTTGAAAACAATTCAAGTAATAAACATGTGATCAGGAGAAAAGTCTGGCCCCAGGCCAAGCAGAGAGTAGAAAAATTTGCAAAACTGACAACAGATATACTATTCATATAGGCACAATAACAAAGGCAATCAATGGATTTCCCTTAACTAAAAAGTATAAACTCACTGGTCCATAAAAGGCGACTCTGTAGTAACGACCAAGTAACCTCTTTTGTGAAGCATTAACTTCTACCACGCGTGAGTAGGCCTAAAAAGAAAGTAAATTATTAAATGATGTGCAGTTTAGAAACTACATCAGCAGAATGAAAAAGAAATCCACAAGAAAGAGACTGCACTAATATGAAGGGAGAAGACAGGAAGAGTAGCATATATTAATATTAAATTCACAGGATCTCCATGGGGAAGTGGAACAGAATTCTTCCTCCTTAAGCCATGCGTGTCATAAGAGGCTATTAAAATGCCTGGAGCAAAGGGCTAGTAACCCCTTTGCCTCTATAAATTACTAAATTTAATAAGAGAAAACTTTCGCTTTTCTTTTTGAGCCACTCTGCCTTGGTGGGATATGGCCGGTTTGTTGAAAGAAGAAATTTGCAGGAAAGTGCTAAACCCATAGAGGTCATACAGCACCTGGGGACTGGGAGGTATTCAGGTTTGACCAATGAAAGAGAAGATTTGAAGCCATGGAAGATTATCAAATAACAGTAAATTCATTATCATAAACTATTTCCAACTAATCTATTGATGTGACAAATAGACACTTTCAGTATTACCTGGGCTTTGTCAAATAAATAGAATAATAAAAACAGTGGTATATAAAGAATATGGGGGAGGTGAGGCACTGGTGGGCCAGGTCAGTTGCTGCTGAGACAAATCATGGGTCACCAGGACAGGTCTAGTCAGGTGCTTCAGAAACAGGTCAGATACTGCCAAGACAGACTGGATGTTGTTGAGTCAGGTCAGGTGCCATTACAAGTGAGTAAGGGCAAGTAATACTGGGCAGAAGTGAAGTCAAAAAGTCTGGTAATAAAGGGGTGGGGATGATGTGGTTGGAGGATAATCTGACTCTAATGTCAGGACATTTCAGGAAAGTGAGCTGCTGAATGAATTATGGTGAGTGCATTTTCTTATTTGCATCACTTGCCTTGGCAACAAATGCCTAATAAATTAAAAAAAAACTTATCCAAATTTACTTTACTAAAAGCACCCATTTACCTCCAATTCTTGGCTCACAGCCATTCATTTGCTTTCTACAGTACATAAATATCTGCACTTAGTAGAGAGAAATTTATGAGTACAGTGATTATGTGCGAGTGAGGTGAAAGTGTTGAATGATGATGAAAGTATTTTCTTTTTGGGGATTTTATTTCTTTTTGGGTCACCCTGCCTCGGTGGGAGACGGCCAACTTGTTAAAAAAAAAAAAAAAATTAATTATTTGTGTACTGTTCCAGCCATGGTATTTTGACTGTTTATTCTTTCTTACTGCAGTATATTTTGGAGTGGGCAAACAATTCCCCAGAAAAAATAAAAATGTGCTGCAGTATATTTTGGAGTGGGCAAACAATTCCCCAGAAAAAAATAAAAATGTGCTGCTGAAAATGAGGGTTATTCAAAATTATACAATACACTGTAAATAAATAACTTTCAGTGCAATGAACAAAAAATGAATTAACAGGTAGAAGGTTGGTAGACAGCAACCACCCAGGGAGGTACTACTGTCCTGCCAATTGAGTGTAAAAGGAGATCCTGTAATTGTTTTATATGATGGTAGGATTGCTGGTGTCTTCTGTCTGTCTCATAAATATGCAAGATTACAGGTACGTCTTGCTACTTCTACTTACACTTTGGTCACACTACACATACATGTACACGTTTATTTATACACACTCATCTGAGTTTTCTTTGGTTTTATCTTAATAGTTCTTGTTCTTATTACTTTTCCTTTTATATCCATGGGGAAGTTGAATAAGAATCTTTCCTCAGTAAGCCATGCATACTGTAAAAGTCAACCAAAATGCCAGGAACAATGGGCTAGTAACCCTTTTTCCTGTAAAGATTACTAAAAAGAAGAGGAAGAAAATTGTCAAAGTGGGAAGTCTGCATGTGCGTGGATGTTGTGCGAATGATAAGAAAGAGAGGATTGTGGATGCTATGAATGAGAAGAAGCTGAATGTCTTGGCTTTAAGTGAAACAAAGCTGAAGGGGGTGGAGAGAAGTAAAGGGGATTAGGTCAGGGGTTTCAAAGAGTTGGAGCTAAAGAAGGATTAGCAATAATGTTAAAGGATAAGCTATGGCAGGAAAAGAGTATAAATGCATTAATTCAAGGATTATGTGGAGTAAAATAAAGGTTGGATGTGAAAAGTGGGTTAGAGTAGGCATATATGCACCTGGAGAAGAGAGAAGTGTAGAGGAGAGAGAGAGAGATTTTGGGAATTGTTGAGTGAGTGTATGGGGAGTTTTGAGCTAAGTGTGAGAGTACTTGCGGTTGGGGATTTCAATGGTAAAGTGGGTAAAAATGTTGTGGAGGGAGTAGTAGGAAAATTTGGGGTGCCAGGGGTAAATGAAAATGGGGAGCCTTTAATTGAACTATGTGTAGAAATAGGTTTGGTAATAACACATATTTTATGAAAAACAGGATAAATAAATATACAAGGTATGATATAGCACGTAATGAAAGAAGTTTGTCAGATTATATATTGGTGGATAAAAGGTTAACGGGTAGGCTCCAGGATGTACATGTTTATAGAGGGGCATCTGATATATCGGATCATTATTTAGTTGTAGCTACAATTAGAGTAAAAGGTAGATGCGACAAAAGGAAAATGGCAACAAGAAGTAAGTGAGAGGTGAAAGTGTATAAACTAAGGGAGGAAGAGGTTTGGGTGAGATATAAGCAACTATGGGCAGAAAGGTGGGCTAATGCAAGTGTGAGTAGTGGGGGGATGGGGTTGAAGAGGGTTGAAATAGTTTAAAAAATGCAGTATCAGAATGTAAGGCAGAAGTTTTTGGCTATAGGAGGGTGGGTGCAGGGGGAAAGAGGAGTGATTGGTGGAATGATGAAGTAAAGGGTGTGATAAAAGAGAAAAAGGCAGCCTATGAGAGGTTTTTACAAAGCATATGTGTTATAAGAAGAGCAGAGTATATGGAGAGTAAAAGAAAGGTGAAGAGAGTAGTGAGAGAGTGTAAAAGGAGAGCAGATGATAGAGTGGGAGAGGCACTGTCAAGAAATTTTGATGAAAATAAGAAAAAACTTTTGAATGAGATAAACAAGTAAAAAAAGCCTAGGGAATGAATGGATTTGTCAGTTAAAAACAGAGTAAGGGAGTTAGTAGATGGGGAGATGGAGGTATTGTGTAGATGGCGGGAATATTTTGAGGAACTTTTAAATGTCGATGAAGAAAGGGAGGCGGTAATTTTGTGCACTGGCCAGGGAAGTATACCATCTTTTAGGAGTGAAGAAGAGCACGATGTGAGTGTAGGGGAGGCGCGTGAGGCATTACGTAGAATGAAAGGGGGTAAAGCAGCTGGAACTGACGGGGTCATAACAGAAATGTTAAAAGCAGGGGGGTATATAGTGTTGGAGTGATTGGTATTTTTGTTTAATAAATGTATGAAAGAGGGGACGGTACCTAGGGTTTGGCAGAGAGCATGTATAATTCCTTTATATAAAGGGAAGGGGGACAAAAGAGACTGTAAAAATTATAGAGGAATAAGTTTAAGAAGCTGTAGGTAGTAGGTTGGTAGACAGCAACCACCCACGGAGGTACTACCGTCCTGCCAAGTGAGTGTAAAACGAAAGCCTGTAATTGTTTTACATGATGGTAAGATTGCTGGTGTCCATTTTTCTGTCTCATAAACATGCAAGGTTTCAGGTACGTCTTGCTACTTCTACTTACACTTAGGTCACACTACACATACATGTACAAGCATATATATACACACCCCTCTGGGTTTTCTTCTATTTTCTTACTAATTCTTGTTCTTGTTGATTTCCTCGTACCTCCATGGGGAAGTGGAACAGAATTCTTCCTCTGTAAGCCATGCGTGTTGTAAAAGGCGACTAAAATGCCAGAAGCAAGGGGCTAGTAACCCCTTCCCCTTACTAAATGTAAAAGAAGAATCTTTCGTTTTTCCTTTTGGACCACCCCGCCTCGGTGGGATACGGCCAGTGTGTTGAAAGAAAGAGGTTTACCGAGTCTACCAGCAAAAGTGTACGGTAGGGTTATTATTGAAAGAATTAGAGGTAAGACAGAATGTAGGATTGCGGATGAGCAAGGAGGTTTTCGAGTGGGTAGGGGATGTGTATATCAAGTGTTTATATTGAAGCATATATGTGAACACTATTTAGATAAAGGTAGGGGAGTTTGCATGGCATTTATGCATTTAGAAAAGGCATATGATAGAGTGGATAGAGGAGCAATGTGGCAAATGTTGCAAGTAGTATATGGAATAGGTAGTAAGTTACTAAATGCTGTAAAGAGTTTTTATGAGAATAGTGAGGCTCAGGTTAGGGTGTGTAGAAGAGGAGGAGACTACTTCCCAGTAAAGGTGGGTCTTAGACAGGGATGTGTAATATCACCATGGTTAACTCTCTGACTGTTTTGGTCATATATATACGTCTTACGAGCCACTGTGTTTGACGTATATGTACTCATAAATTCTAGCGGCTTCAAATGAAGCAGGAGAAAGCTCGTAGGCCCACATGTGAGAGAATGGGTCTGTGTGGTCAGTGTGCACCATATAAAAAAATCCTGCAGCATGCAGTGCATAATGAGAAAAAAAAAACTAAGTTTTTTTAATTAAAATGCCGATTTTGTGCACTATTTTCGTATAGTATTTATGGTTGTATTCTCGTTTTCTTGGTCTCATTTGATAGAATGGAAAACATATTATAGAAATAGAGGTGATTTTGATTGATTTTACTATGAAAAGAACCTTGAAATGGAGCTCAAAGTAAGGGAAATGTTTGATTTTTGCAGATGTTCAAAAGTAAAATGATGTCATTTTCCAATAAATGTCCAAGTAGATAATTTTAATCTGCAGTCATGAATGGGTTGACACTATTTATACAATTATTACAATATTTCTTCTATTGTCCATGGGGAAGTGGAAAAGAATCTTTCCTCCATAAGCCATGCGTGTTGTATGAGGCGACTAAAATGCCGGGAGCGATGGGCTAGTAACCCTTTCTCCTGTAGACATTTACTAAAAAAGAGAAGAAGAAAAACTTTATAAAACTGGGATGCTTGAATGTGCGTGGATGTAGTGCGGATGACAAGAAACAGATGATTGCTGATGTTATGAATGAAAAGAAGTTGGATGTCCTGGCCCTAAGCGAAACAAAGCTGAAGGGGGTAGGGGAGTTTTGGTGGGGGGAAATAAATGGGATTAAATCTGGAGTATCTGAAAGAGTTAGAGCTAAGGAAGGGGTAGCAGTAATGTTGAAGGATCAGTTATGGAAGGAGAAAAGAGAATATGAATGTGTAAATTGAAGGATTATGTGGATTAAAGTAAAGGTTGGATGCGAAAAGTGGGTCATAATAAGCGTGTATGCACCTGGAGAAGAGAGGAATGTAGAGGAGAGAGAGAGATTTTGGGAGATGTTAAGTGAATGTATAGGAACCTTTGAACCAAGTGAGAGAGTAATTGTGATAGGGGACCTGAATGCTAAAGTAGGAGAAACTTTTAGAGAGGGTGTGGTAGGTAAGTTTGGGGTGCCAGGTGTAAATGATAATGGGAGCCCTTTGATTGAACTTTGTATAGAAAGGGGTTTAGTTATAGGTAATACATATTTTAAGAAAAAGAGGATAAATAAGTATACAAGATATGATGTAGGGCAAAATGACAGTAGTTTGTTGGATTATGTATTGGTAGATAAAAGACTGTTGAGCAGACTTCAGGATGTACATGTTTATAGAGGGGCCACAGATATACCCATTCATGTCTGCATATCAGAATGGCTAGTTGGACATTTATTTGAAAATGACATCATTTGTTTACTTTTGAGCATCGGCAAAAATCAAACATTTCCCCTACTTTGAGCTTAATTTCAAGATTCTTTTTATAGTAAAACCAATCAAAATCACCTCTATTTCCATAATATGTTTTCCATTCTATAAATGAGACCAAGAAAACGAGAATACAATCATAAATACTATACAAAAATACACCACAAATTCGGCGTTTTAATCCAAAAGCACGGTAAGAATTCTTTTTTTCTCATTATCCACTTTGTGCTGCAGGATTTTTTTTTTAAATGGTGCACACTGACCACACAAACCCATTCTCTCACATGTGGGCCTACCAGCTTTCTCCTGCTTCATTTGAAGCCGCTAGAATTTTTGAGTATATATTAGTCAAACACGGTGGCTCGTAAAACATATATATATACGACCAAAACAGTCAAAGGGTTGACCCTTTCAGTGTTTCCGACGTACTAGTACAGCTTACGCACCAGGGTTATTGACTTACTAGTATGCCTAAATTTTAGCGCCTTCAAATCTAGCAAGAGAAAGCAGGTAGGCCTACATATGAAACAATGGGTCTATGTGGTCAGTGCGGGCAATATAAAAAAAAAAATCCTGCAGCAAACAGTGCGTAATGAGAAAAAAAAAACTTTGACCATGTTTTTGGTTTAAAACAGCGACTTTGCACTGTGTTTTCGTATGGTATTTATGGTTGTATTCTAGTTTTCCTGGTCTCAATTTATAGAATGGAAAGCATATTACGGAAACTGAGATGATTTTGATTGGTTTCATAATGAAAAGTACCTTGAAATTGAGCTCAAAGTAGCAGAAATGTTCGATTTTTGCCAAAGTTCAAAAGTAAACAAATCATGCCATGTGTCCAATACACGTCAACTGGTGAGTCTAGTATTCTTTCACAAGTGCGCCGATATTATTTATACCATTTCTACACTAATGCAGTAGTCTGCATAACAGTAAATCTTCTATTTTTTTGTGAGAATAAAAATTCAAAGTGGAAAGCAAAAGAAATGTAAGAGGGCCCTGGGGACGTGACTAATGAACAGAGGAAATGTTATTTTAGAGCCAGGAAAGTCTGTCTTGTTTATTCTGGACCCTATTTGGAAATTGGCATCTTTTGAAATTTGTGTGAAATTGGCAAAATTGCTAATTTCTGACCACTTTATTGGATAGTTGAAATCGGTAAATGGGTGGTTTCTTGTACTCATTCGATAGAAATAATTGAGTTCTATCGAAATAGTTATGATTTCTGTTGACTAGCACACTGAAAGTGGGCGAAATCGCCGATGCGTAAACATCGTCGAGACCGCTAACTTTGTGAGAGCATAATTCCGTAAGTTTTCCATCAAGTTTCATACTTTTGGTGTCATTATGATCAGGAAAAGATTCTCTATCTTTTCACGAGAAAAAATTTTTTTTTTTTTTTTTTCCAAAAAATTTTCGACCCTGAGAACAAGTTTAGGAGAGGGTCTCTCTACTCTGAAAGGGTTAAAGGAGGGGGTTGAGATATTGGCAGTTTGGAGAGAGATGTTGTCTATCTTTATACATATATGTTTCTAAACTGTTGTCTTCTGGGCATCTCTGCAGAAACAGTGATTATGTATGAGTGAGGTGAAAGTGTTGGTTGATAATGGGGATTTTCTTTCTTTTTGGGTCACCCTGCCTTTGTGGGAGACGGCCAACTTGTTGAAAAAAAAAAAATTAAGAAAGAAGAAAAGAAATTAATTAAAAGTATTCAGTCTGCAGCTAAATGTTAAAATATTGCATAGATTAACCAAAGAAAAAATCACATTCATTTTAAAAAAATAATTGACAGTAAGATGCTGACCTGATACAAGTGTGAATAGCACTGCACAAGTGCCGAGTAGTTGCGCCTTGCTTCGTATATGGGAATAAGGATACGATAGAGATTACCAAGCAATTCATACCGCTCTGAGCGTTCCACCATCCCACCAGCAAGCTCCAGTTGATTGATCAATGAGTCCATTGTAAACACAGTGTCCACCAAACCTGGGAGACAGCCTACTTATATGAGTATTGTTTATTTTATGTGCCAACCAGCATCCAAAATGCTGTCCGTGGAACCTAATAAAAAAATACAATAGTATTATACAAACCTAATCTTATCGATCAATAAATAAACTCTATAATTTTTCATGTTTACAATAAAACAGACATTAATATATTTTTAAATAATTAGTATAGGACCAGGCAGAAAAAAAATTAGATTGATTGTAGCATTAACAATATCATACAAATCTGCATAAATTTATTTTGAATGATACTTTGATAACAAACATTTAACAAATTTATACATGCAGGTAAGTAAATACTCTTGATTCAGTGGGGCTATATTCTATCTCAATTAAAACAATGAAATTTTTACCCTTATTTTCTAACAAAAAGAAGCTACATGGAATATTTTTACAGATACCATAATCAGTAATACAAATACATCCATTTTACAGAAGCTTTAAATTAAATTTAACAAAAGTATTTTATTAATCAAACATTTGTTACTGGGTTACTTAAATGGCTACAATGTTTGCATACAAAATATGGCTTCAAAAATGAAAGTCTTGCTGCTGCAAATATCACAAGTTTAATTGCCAAATAAAAAACTGAGAAAGATATAGTTAACTAACTATTAGAATCAAATGAGATAGGTGTCCTATGAAAAAGATGTTGAATAAAGAAAGTGAAATGGATGAGGAAGACTGAAATTACAAAAAAATATGTTGTTACATAAAGGGTAGCAGAATGATATGGTTTGAAAGGTAAAATAATATGCTGACACATATGAAGGGATTCAAGACAACTGGTTAGTTGGACTTGAGTCCTGAAGGTGGGAAGTACAGTGCCTGCACTCTTAAGGAGAGGTGAGAAAGTTGCAGTTCAGAAGGTTATCTGAAATGATATGCAGCAGAATGCTTCTGGCAAGACAGCAATTGAATGAATGCTGGTGAATGTGTTTCCTCTTTCCTTGGCTCACCCTACCTCAGTGGGAGATGGCCGGTGTTAAAAAAAAAAAAGCATGACAGAAATAAAGATAGGGAGAAGAATGTCTTTATTTGAACATTTTGCTCACAAATGAGCATTTGCAAGTCATGAATTGAAAAAGCTCACATGTGAGCAAAATACTGTCCACATTAGAGAATTTCTCTGCTTTAAGTGTCTTTATTCTGGCAGAATATTTGTTTGACAAACTACTGTGATAGTAAAGAAAATATAAAGGTCCCAATACTGTGGATGGAACGATTCACAAATAACCACACTTAGAAGAAGAAATGTATGACAATATTTTGATCCATCCTAGACCATTATCAAGTAGCAATTTGACAATGGTACAGGAAGGGCCAAAATGTCATCATAAATTTTCTCTTCTAAGTGTGGGTTATTTGTGAACTGTACTGTGGCAGCATTGGTTCTGAGAAGGACTGGACATAGAATGACTCCAGCATGGCTTCCGAGAAGACAAGAAGGAAATGACACAGGGAAATCCCAGGACAAAAATACATAATGTGTATATACAATATAAAGGTGTCAAACAAGAGTTTAATAAAAATTATTTGAGATTGCTTTGCATGGAGAAGGACCCTGAAAGAAATACAGTGGAACCTCTGCTTATGAGTGCCCCATCATGCGAATTTTTCAGGATACGAGCCGTCGATCGGTCAAATTTTTACTCGTGGATATGAGCCAAAATTCAAGTTGCGAGCTTCTCCCTCAAGGGAGGTTCCTTGATGCTGGTGAGGGGCTCTTGATCAAGAGAATTGTATCTGTTCTCCATTTCCCTAAATTAAGCCTGAATACCTTCCATCCCTTCCCCCCCACAGGCGCTGTATAATCCTATGGGTTTAGCGCTTCCCCATTATAATAATAATAATAATAATAATATAATAATAATACTATAATAACAAGTGAGCTTTGGAATGCCACCACTAGATGGCACAGTGAATACCACAACAATGCTCACCAACACCAGTGCACGTGCTTACCTCATGGTGGAAGGATTTCTCTCATGTTTTGCTTACGTTTTGTGCAGTTATTTTGCCAAATTTCTTTTTTCTAACCATGGGTCCTAAGAAAGTAAGTGCAAAGGACAGTGCTGCGAAGAAAAAGAGGATGATGTCCATGGAAGTAGAGCATGAAATCATAGATAAACACAAGCGAGGGAAAGCATGGGAAGATGCTTTCAGAGCGGGAGTAGGAATGGCTGCCACCAGTTGTCACAAAATGACATTTTATTCATTCTAGAGTATATATCAGGTTTCTATTTTATTTAGATGAATTGTGATAGATAAGCTGTAGAGTTGTTATTAGTAGTAGGTTGGTAGACAGCAACCACCCAGGGAAGTACTACCGTCCTGCCAGATGACTGTGAAACAGAAACCTGTAACTGTTTTGCATGATGGCAGGATTGCTGGTTTCTTTTTCTGTCTCATAAACACGCTAGATAACAGGGATATCTTGCTACTCCTACTTACACTTTGGTCACACTTCACAGACATGCACATGCATTATATATATATACATACATCCAGGTTTTTCTCCATTTTCTAAATAGCTCTTGTTCCTCTTTATTTCTTCTATTGTCCATGGGGAAGTGGAAAAGAATCTTTCCTCCGTAAGCCATGCGTGTCGTATGAGGCGACTAAAATGCCGGGAGCAATGGGCTAGTAACCCCTTCTCCTGTAGACATTTACTAAAAAAGAAAAGAAGAAAAACTTTATAAAACTGGGATGCTTAAATGTGCGTGGATGTAGTGCGGATGACAAGAAACAGATGATTGCTGATGTTATGAATGAAAAGAAGTTGGATGTCCTGGCCCTAAGCGAAACAAAGCTGAAGGAAGTAGGGGACTTTCGGTGGGGGGAAATAAATGGGATTAAATCTGGAGTATCTGAGAGAGTTAGAGCAAAGGAAAGGGTAGCAGTAATGTTGAATGATCAGTTATGGAAGGAGAAAAGAGAATATGAATGTGTAAATTCAAGAATTATGTGGATTAAAGTAAAGGTTGGATGCGAGAAGTGGGTCATAATTAGCGTGTATGCACCTGGAGAAGAGAGGAATGCAGAGGAGAGAGAGAGATTTTGGGAGATGTTAAGTGAATGTATAGGAGCCTTTGAACCAAGTGAGAGAGTAATTGTGGTAGGGGACCTGAATGCTAAAGTAGGAGAAACTTTTAGAGAGGGTGTGGTAGGTAAGTTTGGGGTACCAGGTGTAAATGATAATGGGAGCCCTTTGATTGAACTTTGTATAGAAAGGGGTTTAGTTATAGGTAATACATATTTTAAGAAAAAGAGGATAAATAAGTATACAAGATATGATGTAGGGCAAAATGACAGTAGTTTGTTGGATTATGTATTGGTAGATAAAAGACTGTTGAGTAGACTTCAGGATGTACATGTTTATAGAGGGGCCACAGATATATCAGATCACTTTCTAGTTGTAGCTACACTGAGAGTAAAAGGTAGATGGGATACAAGGAGAATAGAAGCATCAGGGAAGAGAGAGGTGAAGGTTTATAAACTAAAAGAGGAGGCAGTTAGGGTAAGATATAAACAGCTATTGGAGGATAGATGGGCTAATGAGAGCATAGGCAATGGGGTCGAAGAGGTATGGGGTAGGTTTGAAAATGTAGTGTTAGTGTTCAGCAGAAGTTTGTGGTTACAGGAAAGTGGGTGCGGGAGGGAAGAGGAGCGATTGGTGGAATGATGATGTGAAGAGAGTAGTAAGGGAGAAAAAGTTAGCATATGAGAAGTTTTTACAAAGTAGAAGTGATGCAAGGAGGGAAGAGTATATGGAGAAAAAAGAGAGGTTAAGAGAGTGGTGAAGCAATGTAAAAAGAGAGCAAATGAGAGAGTGGGTGAGATGTTATCAACAAATTTTGTTGAAAATAAGAAAAAGTTTTGGAGTGAGATTAACAAGTTAAGAAAGCCTAGAGAACAAATGGATTTATCAGTTAAAAATAGGAGAGGAGAGTTATTAAATGGAGAGTTAGAGGTATTGGGAAGATGGAGGGAATATTTTGAGGAATTGTTAAATGTTGATGAAGATAGGGAAGCTGTGATTTCGTGTATAGGGCAAGGAGGAACGACATCTTGTAGGAGTGAGGAAGAGCCAGTTGTGAGTGTGGGGGAAGTTCGTGAGGCAGTAGGTAAAATGAAAGGGGGTAAGGCAGCCGGGATTGATGGGATAAAGATAGAAATGTTAAAAGCAGGCGGGGATATAGTTTTGGAGTGGTTGGTGCAATTATTTAATAAATGTATGGAAGAGGGTAAGGTACCTGGGGATTGGCAGAGAGCATGCATATTTCCTTTGTATAAAGGCAAAGGGGACAAAAGAGAGTGCAAAAAATTATAGGGGGAGAAGTCTGTTGAGTATACCTGGTAAAGTGTATGGTAGAGTTATTATTGAGAGAATTAAGATTAAGACGGAGAATATAATAGCAGATGAACAAGGAGGCTTTAGGAAAGGTAGGGGGTGTGTGGACCAGGTGTTTACAGTGAAACATATAAGTGAACAGTATTTAGATAAGGCTAAAGAGGTTTTTGTGGCATTTATGGATTTGGAAAAGGCGTATGACAGGGTGGATAGGGGAGCAATGTGGCAGATGTTGCAGGTGTATGGTGTAGGAGATAGGTTACTGAAAGCAGTGAAGAGTTTTTACGAGGATAGTGAGGCTCAAGTTAGAGTATGCAGGAAAGAGGGAGATTATTTCCCAGTAAAAGTAGGCCTTAGACAAGGATGTGTGATGTCACTGTGGTTGTTAATATATTTATAGATGGGATTGTAAGAGTAGTAAATGCGAGGGTCTTGGCAAGAGGCGTGGAGTTAAAAGATAAAGAATCACACATAAAGTGGGAGTTGTCACAGTTGTTCTTTGCTGATGACACTGTGCTCTTGGGAGATTCTGAAGAAAAGTTGCAGAGATTGGTGGATGAATTTGGTAGGGTATGCAAAAGAAGAAAATTAAAAGTGAATACAGGAAAGAGTAAGGTTACGAGGATAACAAAAAGATTAGGTGATGAAAGATTGGATATCAGATTGGAGGGAGAGAGTATGGAAGAGGTGAATGTATTCAGATATTTGCGAGTGGACGTGTCAGCAGATGGGTCTATCAAAGATGAGGTGAATCACAGAATTGATGAGGGGAAAAGGGTGAGCGGTGCACTTAGGAGTCTGTGGAGACAAAGAACTTTGTCCTTGGAGGCAAAGAGGGGAATGTATGAGAGTATAGTTTTACCAACGCTCTTATATGAGTGTGAAGCATGGGTGATGAATGTTGCAGCGAGGAGAAGGCTGGAGGCAGTGGAGATGTCATATCTGAGGGCAATGTGTGGTGTGAATATAATGCAGAGAATTCGTAGTTTGGAAGTTAGGAGGAGGTGCGGGATTACCAAAACTGTTGTCCAGAGGGCTGAGGAAGGGTTGTTGAGGTGGTTCGGACATGTAGAGAGAATGGAGCGAAACAGAATGACTTCAAGCAAAACAGAATGACTTCAAGAGTGTATCAGTCTGTAGTGGAAGGAAGGCGGGGTAGGGGTCGGCCTAGGAAAGGTTGGAGGGAGGGGGTAAAGGAGGTTTTGTGTGCGAGGGGCTTGGACTTCCAGCAGGCATGCGTGAGCGTGTTTGATAGGAGTGAATGGAGACAAATGGTTTTTAATACTTGACGTGCTGTTGGAGTGTGAGCAAAGTAACGTTTATGAAGGGGTTCAGGGAAACCGGCAGACCGGACTTGAGTCCTGGAGATGGGAAGTACAGTGCCTGCACTCTGAAGGAGGGGTGTTAATGTTGCAGTTTAAAAACTGTAGTGTAAAGCACCCTTCTGGCAAGACAGTGATGGAGTGAATGATGGTGAAAGTTTTTCTTTTTCAGGCCACCCTGCCTTGGTGGGAATCGGCCAGTGTGATAATAAAATAATAATATTGTTATTAGCGTTATATTGAAGTATTTTGTCCTGCCTCCTGAGAGCAGGAATTCCGCTGGATTGGATTAATGTTATTTCAGTTAATTTAAATGAGGGAAATTGCCTCAGCATATGAGCAGATCAGGTTACGAGTCAGGTCACGGAACGAATTAAACTCATAAGCAAAGGTTCCACTGTGATACTATGTATAAATTATATGGGGTATGGACACAAAGAACAAGAGTAGAATAAACTGATGACAATCCTTAGAAGTCAAAATAAATTACAAAAAACTCTTATTATTATTACTCTATATTTACTTGGAGGAAATCAGATTTAATCCAAGGAATGGGAAGGTAATGCATTGAAAGTGAACTGAAGAATAGGTTTGAGTTCAGACCAAGCAACAGTCCAAAGTAATTTGCTACTGAAGGCATATGCGAAGCCTCACACTGTTATAAACGCATCTTTGTCATTATTAAAATTATGAGGAGGCGATAAACCTGAAAGTCATACCTGTGTGTGGACAGAAGTATTAAATTACAGAATACACATATGATGCCTCACACTATTATGAATGTAAAAAAAAAAAATAGAATACATATGTATATTAGTTCTTTTCTTCATATCATGGGATAAGGGATCAAAGGTCTCCCCTGCAATACGTTACTGAGAGGTAATACAAATATAAGAGTCATAACTTCAATTATCATCATCAAGAGTCAAGTTTCACTCTCCAAGCTCTAACTGTTTAAACCTGAAATGATGCTTTTTTTAAGCTCAGCAATGTCAATTAAATTTATTACTAAAATAAAGACTATCTGTTATAAGCCAAACAAAATCCGTACTGGATAATGCTTGAATTTTACCCACCCTGCAACTACTATATATCCCTACACACCAGCTGCACAACACTTACACCTGTTACACAATCCCTGCACCTAATACAAAATCTTTACACCTGCTACATAACCCCTACACCTGCTATATAACCCCAACACCTGCTATATAACCCCTACACCTGCTACAAAACAAGCAATGACATTTGTTAAGTTGGTCTTATATTCATATTAATAAATTCATTACACTATATTAAAAAATCACTTTTAATATCTTTACTTGGAAATATTATTTTTTATTTTACTAAAATAATTGTAAGCAAGGCATACTGTGCTAGATTGTTATGGATGATATGAGGTACAAAACAGATTAGGCTTAGTTGCCATGAAAGAGTGACCATTAGTGAAATAATGGCATGCTCTTACTTCAACACATGGCTGTTTTCTTTAATTACACATAACAATATTTCTTCTTGCTTTGCTTTATTTAGTCACCCTCAACATAACCACCTCTACTGATACACTTTATTCACTCTCTTTTTCAACTTTACTTGTCTTTTACTTTATCTTTTGTACCTGTAAACCGATATGAAAAGTAACTCAGAAAATGAATTCATTTTTCTACAGGTAAACAATCTTCTGTGCACTTATAACTTATGAATCAATAAACCATCAAATTTTATAGCATACAAATTACTCCTTATATATTTGCTCTTTCATTACAAACAAAAACCACTAATAAGAGGAGTTAATTTTAATAACAAACCTGAATAAAGTTTGCTTTGTCAAATACAGTGGACCCCCGACCAACAAAGGCATCGTCTAACAATAAATTTGACTAATGAAGTGTTTGAGCGTAAAAATTTTGGGCCGACCAACAATGAAAAACTCAACCAACATGATTCGTCCTGAACACATCCACGTGTCCCATCTGGCCTGAGCACGCCTTTGCTGCCCTGCCTTCAGTTAGTGTGCCAGTGTTTACAAGCCAGTCTGGTCACATCCACGCATACATTTGGTACATTTTGTATTATTCCAATGTTTTTAGTGCTTGTAACTGCAAAATAAGCCACCATGGGCCCCAAGAAAGCTTCTAGTTCCAACCCTGTGGTAAAAAGGGTGAGAATTACAATTAAAATGAAGGAGATCATCACAAAGTATGAAACTGGAGTGCGTGTCTCCGAGGTCGCCAGGTTGTATAACAAACCCCAATCAACCATCGCTACTATCTTGGCCAACAGAAAGGCAATCAAGGAAGCTGTTGTTGCAAAAGGTGCATGTATCTTTTCGAAACACAGATCGCAAGTACTCGAAGATGTCAAGAGACTGTTATTGGTGTGGATAAACGAAAAACAGATATCAGGAGATAGCATCTCTCAAGTGATCATGTGTGAAAAGGCAAGGCAGTTGCATGACAATTTAATTAAAAAAATGCCTGCAACTAGTGGTGATGTGAGTGAATTTAAGGCCAGGTAAGTGTCATTTATTCTTCATTACACAATATACATATGTATACATGGATTGTGCATCTATCCTTCTGTTTGTGTGTAGGAAAATGTATATTTCATGTGGTAAAAATATTTTTTTTCATACTTTTGGGTGTCTTGAACAGATTAATTTGATCTCCATTATTTCTTATGGGGAAAATTAATTCAACTAACAATAATTTTGTCTAACGATGAGTTCTCTGGAACGGACTAATGTCATTGGTCGAGGGTCCACTGCATATTTATATTAAACTACATTATAAAAGCTTAATGTTCACTCAAAATCAGGCACTCAAACTTCATGCATCAAGTTAGGCAAACTCACCACACAAAAGCAGTAATGTGTTCTACAGAGTGCAACTCTAACCAGAGCACTTGTGGATACCTACCAGTGTGTAAGTGTAGAGTCTGCGAGCTGCATGCAACGTCTAACAGGAACGCCACAGAAGACACGGCAAGCAGAGGATGAGCAATGGCCAAGGTAAAAGCATCAGGCTTATAATCTTTACCCCTCAGAAGGATCATGGTATTTTTCCATTTTTTTCTTTTACTGAGCTAATAGTTTTAGAAGAGGAAAATATTTATAATAACGTACAATAATTTAACAGTGAATGTAGTAAAGTATCTATAACACTAAAGAAAACTAAAACCTGATTAATAAGCCAGCAATTACTGAAGGTTGGTAGACAGCAACCACCCAAGGAGGTACTACCATCCTGCCAAGTGAGTGTAAAACGAAAGCCTGTATTTGTTTTACATGATGGTAGGATTGTTGGTGTCTTTTTTCTGTCTCATAAACATGCAAGATTTCAGGTACATCTTGCTACTTCTACTTACATTAGGTCACACTACACATGCATGTACACGTTTATGTATACACGCTCGTCTAAGTTTTCTTTGATTTTTCTCTTAATAGTTCTTGTTCTTATTCCTTTTTCTTTTCATATCCATGGGAAAGTGGAATAAGAATCTTTCCTCAGTAAGCCATGAGTGTTGTAAAAGTCAACTGAAATGCCAGGAACAATGGGCTAGTAACCCCTTTTCCCATATACCTTACTAAAAAGAATAAGGAGAAAACCGTCAAAGTGGGATGTCCGAATGTGTGTGGATGTTGTGAGAATGATAAGAAAGAGATGATTGTGGATGTTATGAATGAAAAGACGCTGGATGTCCTGGCTTTAAGTGAGATAGAGCTGAAGGGGGTAGGAGAGTTTCAACAGGGAGAAATAAATGGGATTAGATCAGGGGCTTCAAACAGAGTTAGAGCTAAAGAAGGAGTAGCAATAATGTTGAATAATCAGTTATGGCAGGTAAAGAGGGAATATAAATGAATAAATTCAATGATTATGTGGAGTACAATAAAGGTTGGATGTGAAAAGTGGGTTATAGTAAGTGTTTATGCACCTGGAGAAGAGAGAAATGTAGAGGAGACAGAAAGATTTTGGGAAACGTTGAGTGAGTGCATGCGGAGCTTTGAACCAAGTGAGAGAGTACTTGTGGGTGGGGATCTTAATGCTAAAGTGGGTAAAAATGTTGTGGAGGGAGTAGTAGGTAAATTTGCAATGCCAGGGGTAAATGTAAATGGGGAGCCTGTAATTGAGCTGTGTGTAGAAAGAGGTTTGATAATAAGTAATACATATTTCATGAAAAAGAGGATAAATAAATATACAAGGTATGATACAGCATGTAATGAAAGTAGTTTGTTAGATTATGTATTATTATTATTATTATTATTATCACACTGGCCGATTCCCACCAAGGCAGGGTGGCCCGAAAAAGAAAAACTTTCACCATCATTCACTCCATCACTGTCTTGCCAGAAGGGTGCTTTACACTACAGTTTTTAAACTGCAACATTAACACCCCTCCTTCAGAGTGCAGGCACTGTACTTCCCATCTCCAGGACTCAAGTCCGGCCTGCCGGTTTCCCTGAACCCCTTCATAAATGTTACTTTGCTCACACTCCAACAGCACGTCAAGTATTAAAAACCATTTGTCTCCATTCACTCCTATCAAACACGCTCACGCATGCCTGCTGGAAGTCCAAGCCCCTCGCACACAAAACCTCCTTTACCCCCTCCCTCCAACCTTTCCTAGGCCGACCTCTACCCCGCCTTCCTTCCACTACAGACTGATACACTCTTGAAGTCACTCTGTTTCGCTCCATTCTCTCTACATGTCCTAACCACCTCAACAACCCTTCCTCAGCCCTCTGGACAACAGTTTTGGTAATCCCGCACCTCCTCCTAACTTCCAAACTACGAATTCTCTGCATTATATTCACACCACACATTGCCCTCAGACATGACATCTCCAATGCCTCCAGCCTTCTCCTCGCTGCAACATTCATCACCCATGCTTCACACCCATATAAGAGCGTTGGTAAAACTATACTCTCATACATTACTCAGAGATTACTTCCCGGTAAAAGTAAGTCTTAGACAGGGATGTGTGATGTCACCATGGTTGTTTAATATATTTATAGATGGTATTGTAAAAGAAGTAAATGCTAGGGTGTTTGGGAGAGGAGTGGGATTAAATTATGGGGAATCAAGTACAAAATGGGAGTTGACACAGTTACTTTTTGCTGATGATACTGTGCTTATGGAAGATTCTAAAGAAAAGTTGCGAAGGTTAGTGGACAAGTTTGGGAGTGTGTGCAAAGGTAGAAAGTTGAAAGTGAACATAGATAAGAGTAAGGTGGTGAGGACATCAAACGATTTAGATAAAGAAAAATTCGATATCACATTGGAAAGAGGGAGTATAGAAGAAGTGAATGTTTTCATATATTTGGGAGTCGACATGTCAGCGGATGGGTTTACGAAGGATGAGGTTAACCATAGAAATGATGAAGGAAAAATGGTGAGTGGTGCATTGAGGTATCTGTGGAGACAAAAAACATTATCTATGGAGGCAAAGAAGGGAATGTATGAAAGTATAGTGGTACCAACACTCTAACATGAGTGTGAAGCTTGGGTTGTAAATGCTGCAGTGAGGAGGCGGCTGGAGGCAGTGGAAATATCCTGTGTAAGGGTAATGCGAGGTGTTAATATTGTGCAGAGAATTCGGAGTGTGGAAATTAGAAGGTGTGGAGTTACTAAAAGTACTGTATTAGTCAGAGGGTTGAAGAGGGGTTGATGAAGTGGTTTGGTCATTTAGAGAGAATGGATCAAAGTAGAATGACGTGGAGAGCATATAAATCTGTAGGGGAAGGAAGGAAGGGTAAGGGTTGTCCTCGAAAAAGTTGGAGGGAGGGGGTAAAGGAGGTTTTGTGGGTGATGGGCTTGGACTTCCAGCAAGCATGTGTGAGCATGTTAGATAGTAGTGAATGGAGATAAATGGCTTTTGAGACCTGATGAGCTGTTGGAGTGTGAGCAGGGTAATACTTAGTGAAGGGATTCAGGAAAACTGGCTATTTTTATATAGCTGGACTTGAGTACTGGAAATGGGAAGTACAATGCCTGCACTTTAAAAGAGGGGTCTGGGATATTGACAGTTTGGAGGAACTATTCTAAACTGTCATATCTGAGCGCCTCTGCAAAAGCAGTGATTATGTATGAGTGAGGTGAAAGTGTTGAATGATGATGAAAGTATTTTCTTCCTTTTTGGATTTTTTCTTTTTGGGTCACCCTGCCTTGGTGGGAGATGACCAACTTGTTGAAAGAAAAAAAACCAGCAATTACTGAAATCATCGATTTTCCAAAAAGACAAATACTGTATTTTATAAAGCTCAAACATGATAGAAGCTAAATTAGTCTTCAAGTGTATTTCCTTCTCACTCCCGTAAAGTTGCCATAGGAGATGGCCTGGCTTAATTGGACTCAAATGTTGCTTAGATACATGAAGTAAATAGAGTGTACCCCTGCTTTAATGATCAAAATGGTAAAAGGAGATATCATTTCTTAAGCAAATTTTAAATTAAATGAACTCCATTTCCCACATTCAAGCATGTTATAATCTGAGATACATTCTAGGGCAATAATATTCTGAATTTAATTTCATTTTATTTCTCTTAATGAAAAATTTATGAACACTACTATTACTCATTACATCACTTTTCAGTGCAAAATTCATACACCGAGTTTACTTTAATCACTATTAAAGGGACTGCAGTATTCCTAATGTTATTATACAGATAGTTATGTCAGACCCTAGGTAGTAGGTTGGTAGACAGCAACCACCCAGGGAGGTACTACCGTCCTGCCAAGTGAGTGTAAAACGGAAGCTTGTAATTGTTTTACATGATGGTAGGATTGCTGGTGTCCTTTTTCCTGTCTCATAAAAATGCAAGATTTCAGGTACGTCTTGCTACTCCTACTTACTTAGGTCACACTACACATACATGTACAAGCATATATATACACACCCCTCTGGGTTTTCTGCTATTTTCTTTCTAGTTCTTGTTCTTGTTTATTTCCTCTTATCTCCATGGGGAAGTGGAACAGAATTCTTCCTCCGTAAGCCATGCATGTCCTAAGAGGTGATTGAAATGCCAGGAGCAACGGGCTAGTAACCCCTTCTCCTGTATATATTACTAAATTTGAAAGGAGAAACTTTGGTTTTTCCTTTTGGGCCACCCCACCTTGGTGGGATACAGCTGGTATGTTGAAAGAAGAAGAAGAAGAGTTTTGAAAGATTTAGGTAGGACTGAATTGAAATAGTGCCAGAGTCACAGCCACATGGGTTTGTTCATTTCCTTCTCAAATGGCATTAGCTGATCATTCTACAGTACAAGGAACATAAAAGGTTTCTTTCTGCTCATCATTTCAAGTTGTATTCTGTAGTGGGTATAATGTAATATACTAGAAACACACAATGATAGTACAAGGTAGGAGGAAATGTAAGAGAATCAATTCGCTGTCCTCACAACCCAAAGGCAAAAAAGAAATCAAGTTCAGATTGTTTTATGATCAGTGAAGTAGTGGTAGCATCTCTGCTCTCACCCTTGAAAGTAGTAAAAATATTCCCATACAATACTTCCCACCTCATATTGTTACACTCACAATATGTGAAATTTTAGTATGTACAATAATAGTTATCAAAACAGTTTTTTTTTTTTTTTAACAAGTCGGCCGTCTCCCACCGAGGCAGGGTGACCCAAAAAGAAAGAAAATCCTCTTTTCTATGTTCACTTGCAACTTTTTACCTTTACACACACTCCAAACACTCAAAACAGTTATATACATATATTTGTACAGTATATGCAATATATTTATCTGTATCATCCGAGTGAATGGAATTCTATCTACCAAGCACTGACCTAATCTTTTGACACGTACACTGAAATGTAGAGCAGGTAAAGCATATGAATTAAAAACTAAAGATCACTGGAAAAGACAAGCATTGAATGTCTATTCTTTCATATATTAATATGGCAATTACCAGTGTAAGTGAAAGTTATGATAAAAAAATAACTGCTGGGTAGATGAAGTTCCTAGTTTTAGGTAATGTACAATAATAACAAATTTGTATATCAGAAATATGATCTGTGATTCTGTTCCTTTTAGCTACCTCTAAAAATTATACCAGTTTTAAAAGTGAGGAGCTAATCACGTATCTTATTAAGTACAGATCAGATCAGTTGTCTATTGCTATTCCTAGAGTGCTCTGAGAAACCATACTTGATGTATTAGATGAAATAAATTCAATATCAGTAAGAGTGAAAAGAAAAACAAATAGACAAGTTCTAATATGAATCAATATATTAATTGTAAAAGTGACATCTCCATGTCTGTAGTGCCAGGTGCACTCTTTATGTACTTGAAATTGCTGTGTGACACAAAATTAATTTTTTTTGTAAACTTGGGTTACACAGCCTGAGTTTTGCAAAGTGAAACAGGTGTTGGTACTATAATGTTGCAAGAAGTAACAGGACAATTATTGCCACTAAGCTATTTTTCGATAAAACTTAAGTCACCAGAAAAATTATGCCACCAGAATCTGTAGAAAATAACTAAAAGATGGATTTTTTCACTTATTCTTTTCATTTATCATGAGGCAAGTAACTGAGCTCAAGTTAACTTTTGGAGGAAACGATAAAAAATGATAAAAAAATACTGAAAATGTAATTCTTCTTCTTCTTCTTTCAATGTACCAGCCGTATCCCACTGAGGTGGGGTGGCCCAAAAGAAGAAAACTAAAGTTTCTCCTTTTAAATTTAGTAATATATACAGGAGAAGGGGTTACTAGCCCCTTGCTCCCAGCATTTTAGTCACCTCTTACCACAAGCATGGCTTACAGAGGAAAAATTCTGTTCCACTTCCCCATGGAGATAAGAGGAAATAAACAAGAACAAGAATTAGAAAGAAAATAAAAGAAAACCCAGAGGGGTGTGTATATATATGCTTGTACACATATGTGTAGTGTGACTTAAGTGTAAGTAGAAGTAGCAAGGCATACCTGTAATCTTGCATATTTATGAAACAGACAAAAGACACCAGCAATCCTACCATCACGTAAAACAATTACAGGCTTTCGTTTTACACTCACTTGGCAGGACGGTAGTACCTCCCTGGGCGGTTGCTGTCTACCAACCTACTACCTACTGAAAATGTAACTATGGTGCCATTTTTATTTAACATGTCAGCCATCTCCCACCAAGGCAGGGTGACCCCCCCCCCCCAAAAAAAAAAAAAACTTTCACCCTCATTTACACTTAATCCCTCTTTGCAGAGGTGCTTAGATACAACAGTTTAGATGTCATTCCAAACAGCCAATGTCCCAAACCCCTCCTTTAAAGGGCACGCATTGTACGTACTTCCTACCACCAGGACACAAGTCCAGCTAACCGGTTTCCCTGAATCCCTTCACAATATATTGCCCTGCTCCCACGCCAACAGCTTGTTGGGTCCCAAACATCACTCGTCTCCATTCACTCCCATCTAATGCGCCAACACATGCCTGCTGCATGTCCAAGCCATTTTATTTGCCAAAAAAATTTTCGATACAGTTTCCTTATATTTATTAAGCTGTAAGGTGCTCAATTTTCTAAACTTATAAAGGTTTCTTTGTTTAAATGCTTTGTGGGGCTGGATGGAAGAGGACTTTTTTTTCTTATAGTACCAGAAAACAACTGAGAGCATTTTTCTACTGTACATCAATATATTCAACAGAAAAACAAAGAAAAGAAGATAATCTGAACATCATCCTAACAATCAATCGTACTGAAATTTAAAAATCTACATTTCTTAACAAAATTGTACCCACCTACACCAAAAAAAAACATGTACCCAGTGTGGAATATAATGATAAGCAAGGCAAGCATTGCCTACCCTATGAACATTTTTAACATCAAATTTAAAATCTATATTTTGTTAATGCCTTAACAAAGCCATGTTAAGGCCATAACTCTGAAATGACCACTGCAGTAGTTATAAGTCATATTATTGAGCACCAAGGAAAATTAATATAAATTATGAAATTTAGAAATTACTGTACCATATAACAACTTGAATTAAAATACAATTCTCAGTTAACCTAGAAATTGAACACCTGTTTATTGTTTTTCTATCATTTTCAGTTACTTGCCACAAAACCAAACTTAGGGAGATGCTAAGGACATACGTAAAAGTTAGAAAAGATATAGAGAAGAAATCACAAACAGGAAAAAATGAGTGGGATTTTCCAAAGCTTGATTTTTTATGAACACTAGCCAAACTACAGAAAATGAAGTGATCATCAGTAATGCCATGAGGAACATAATGCAGAAATACAGTTTTTTTCTACTGCAGTAAAAGACCAGCTAATTTGATTCTCAAAACCCAGTAATTGCTGTGGTAAAACTAAAAATAATTTAAATTCACAACTAACCCCAGCACAAATAAGATAATTATACAGCAATGCATTATAGCCCATAATAAAGATACATAGTGCTTGTCTTTCTTCAAGCTTTCTGATGATCTAAGAAAGGAACTGTGTAAAACATTTTACATGATGCAACAGATGTTGGAAATAATCTATGTTTTAATTTATTTATAAAACACAAAACTTGCCTTGTTATCAAAAACAGGAACTTTTTAGTATGTGAAAAATATTAATGAAAGATGTGCAGTGCTATACTGTACTGTATTACAAACCTAAAAAAAAGCATTCTACTGTATATCTACAGTAATAACAAAATTAATGACTAGACAGTGCAATGTAGCAATTAAAACTATAATTAAATCATGACCCTTCTGGTCTTTTGTGAAAAAGATTAATACTACAGAATATAACTAATACAAAAATAGTATCTAATGCAGAATTATCAAGCTCATTACCACAAAAATCCAAACTACTGAATTCTTATATGAAGTCTTACCAGCATCTAACCGCAAGTTAGATTCATCTTTTGGGATGTTGTCTGATATGATGGAGAACACTTGGCAACCTTCAGGGAATTCTCCTTGATGACGTAAATATTCTGCCATTAGGGCTGCAATGTGCAGCTGGCAAAATGCAGCCTGTGAAAAGACATAAGAAACATTTGGTAAGTGAGTCACCTACATGTGGTTGCAGGAGTTAAGTCTCAGTTCTTGGCACTGCCTCTGCACTGGCCACTACTGGGTTTGCTCCTGACCGAATGAGTCTTATCATACCTATTCTTAAAATTATGTATGAATCCTACCTAGGTCATGCCACTTCTGACCAAATTGAGGCTAAAGAAATATTTGCTAACATCCCTGTGACTCATTGGTGTTTTCAATGTCCAGCTGTGCAATCAAGTACCTGAGTCTCCCTCTCTCTCTCTTAGTATTTTGTATATTGTTATCATATCACCCCTGATCCTTCTGTCATTTGATGTTATCAGTTTTAGTTCCTTCAGTCTCTCCACATACTATCTCAAACCACTTCCTCCTCTCTCTTTTAGTTTTGTTGTAAACTTCTGCATTCTTTCCAGTTTCTGACATACTTGATCAAGTGTGGATTTTTTACTGGTGCTGCATACTTCAAGATGGGCCTAAGATATGCCATATATAGTGTCATGAATGACTCCTTGTCGAGGATCTTGAAAGCAAACCTAAAATTTGCCAGACAATATATGGTGCAGAAGCTATTCAGATGATACAGGCAATATGCTTAGTATTGTACTCACCCAGAGGTCATTACTATCTTTCAGTGAGGCTTACAGCCTTTGTTCCTCAAGCCTGTACTATGTTTATGATATTCTTTGCTCATCCCTAATTATCACAACTATACATTTACTGGAGTTAAATTCTAATAGCCAATTGTCAAACCAATCTTGCAGCTTGTCCAGGTCTATTTGTAGTCCTTTCTGGTCCTCTACTGTTCATATTATCCTCATTCCTTTCAAATCACCTGGGAACACGGATTTTTTTTTTTCAACAAACCAGCTGTATCCCACCGAGGCAGGGTGGCCCAAAAAGAAAAACAAAAGTTTCTCTCTTCAAATTTAGTAATTTATACAGGAGAAGGGGTTACTAGCCCCTTGCTCCCAACATTTTAGTCACCTCTTACAACACGCATGGCTTACGGAAGAAGAATTCTGTTCCACTTCCCCATGGAGATGAGGAAATAAACAAGAACAAGAACTAGAAAGAAAATAGCAGAAAATCCAGAGGGGTGTGTATATATATGCTTGTACATGTATGTGTAGTGTGACCTAAGTGTAAGTAGAAGTAGCAAGACGTACCTGAAATCTTGCATGATTATGAGACAGAAAAAAGGACACCAGCAATCCTACCATCATGTAAAACAATTATAGGCTTTCGTTTTACACTCACTTGGCAGGACGGTAGTACCTTCCTGAGCGGTTGCTGTCTACCAACCTACTACCTAGGGAAACAGGGATATCCAATTCAATTTCTTCTGTCGTGTTACTCTCACATACACAAACAGAACCAGTCCCAAAATTGACCCTTATGGGCAGACCCTAAGGGAATGCCCTGCCCAGGGTCACTTAGGTCTTTCCTCTTCTAGGCGGGGCTTATAACTTGAGGTTCTGCTCCTGGTAAGTTGTCTAGAGTTGTTTGATGGGGATGCTGCTTGCCCAGGGAAGATGATATTGCTGTCTGGTTACCTTTCTCCTCACAGTAGGCACACTTTTCACCCTGTGGTTCTTTATCCCTAGTTCATTTAAAATGTTGAAATTTCTTTGCAATACTGCCAGTCTTTACCAATGTAAAGCCTTTCATGATTATAGCAGACATGATAAAATCATATTAATAACTCCTCTGATATATCTGCAAGTATTAGGTATTAGGTAGATGGCGAGAATATTTTGAGGAACTTTTAAATGTTAAGGAAGAAACAGAGGCAGTAATTTCTTGCACTGGTCAGGGAGGTATACCATCTTTTAGGAGTGAAGAAGAGCAGAATGTAAGTGTGGGGGAGGTACGTGAGGCATTACGTAAAATGAAAGGGGGTAAAGCAGCTGGAACTGATGGGATCATGACAGAAATGTTAAAAGCAGGGGGGGATATAGTGTTGGAGTGGTTGGTACTTTTGTTCAGTAAATGTATGAAAGAGGGGAAGGTACCTAGGGATTGGCGGAGAGCATGTATAGTCCCTTTATATAAAGGGAAAGGGGACAAAAGAGACTGTAAAAATTATAGAGGAATAAGCTTACTGAGTATACCAGGAAAAGTGTACAGTAGGGTTATAATTGAAAGAATTAGAGGTAAGACAGAATGTAGGATTGCGGATGAGCAAGGAGGTTTCAGAGTGGGTGGGGGATGTGTAGATCAAGTGTTTACATTGAAGCATATATGTGAACAGTATTTAGATAAAGGTAGGGAAGTTTTTATTGCATTTATGGATTTAGAAAAGGCATATGATAGAGTGGATAGAGGAGCAATGTGGCAGATGTTGCAAGTATATGGAATAGGTGGTAAGTTATTAAATGCTGTAAAGAGTTTTTATGAGGATAGTGAGGCTCAGGTTAGGGTGTGTAGAAGAGAGGGAGACTATTTCCCGGTAAAAGTAGGTCTTAGACAGGGATGTGTAATGTCACCATGGTTGTTTAATATATTTATAGATGGGGTTGTAAAGGAAGTAAATGCTAGGGTGTTCAGGAGAGGGGTGGGATTAAATTTTGGGGAATCAAATTCAAAATGGGAATTGACACAGTTACTTTTTGCTGATGATACTGTGCTTATGGGAGATTCTAAAGAAAAATTGCAAAGGTTAGTGGATGAGTTGGGAATGTGTGTAAAGGTAGAAAGCTGAAAGTGAACATAGAAAAGAGTAAGGTGATGAGGGTGTCAAATGATTTAGATAAAGAAAAATTGGATATCAAATTGGGGAGGAGGAGTATGGAAGAAGTGAATGTTTTCAGATACTTGGGAGTTGACGTGTCGGCGGATGGATTTATGAAGGATGAGGTTAATCATAGAATTGATGAGGGAAAAAAGGTGAGTGGTGCGTTGAGGTATATGTGGAGTCAAAAAACGTTATCAATGGAGGCAAAGAAGGGAATGTATGAAAGTATAGTAGTACCAACACTTTTATATGGGTGTGAAGCTTGGGTGGTAAATGCAGCAGCGAGGAGACGGTTGGAGGCAGTGGAGATGTCCTGTTTAAGGGCAATGTGTGGTGTAAATATTATGCAGAAAATTCGGAGTGTGGAAATTAGGAGAAGGTGTGGAGTTAATAAAAGTATTAGTCAGAGGGCAGAAGAGGGGTTGTTGAGGTGGTTTGGTCATTTAGAGAGAATGGATCAAAGTAGAATGACATGGAAAGCATATAAATCTATAGGGGAAGGAAGGCGGGGTAGGGTCGTCCTCGAAAGGGTTGGAGAGAGGGGGTAAAGGAGGTTTTGTGGGCGAGGGGCTTGGACTTCCAGCAAGCGTGCGTGAGCGTGTTAGATAGGAGTGAATGGAGACGAATGGTAATTGGGACCTGACGATCTGTTGGAGTGTGAGCAGGGTAATATTTAGTGAAGGGATTCAGGGAAACCGGTTATTTTCATATAGTCGGACTTGAGTCTTGGAAATGGGAAGTACAATGCCTGCACTTTAAAGGAGGGGTTTGGGATATTGGCAGTTTGGAGGGATATGTTGTGTATCTTTATATGTATATGCTTCTAGACTGTTGTATTCTGAGCACCTCTGCAAAAACAGTGATAATGTGCGAGTGTGGTGAAAGTGTTGAATGATGATGAAAGTATTTTCTTTTTGGGGATTTTCTTTCTTTTTTGGGTCACCCTGCCTCGGTGGGAGACGGCCGACTTGTTGAAAAAAAAACAAAAAAAAAAAAAACAATTTAACATCTGTACATGTAACTCAAGACATAGACAGGCCCAGAAATATTTTTACATTTCTTTTTTAATCATACATATGACCAAAAAAGTATTTTTTTTCTGCACAGGATGTAGGATGTGTTCATTAAAAAAGATGCCTTTAATGTGCCAAGATTATACCTAAATTTTATCAATAAAATATACTGAGCAAACTTTTTTTTTTTTTTTTTTCAACAAGTCGGCCGTCTCCCACCGAGGCAGGGTGACCCAAAAAAGAAAGAAAATCCCCAAAAAGAAAATACTTTCATCATCATTCAACACTTTCACTACACTCGCACATTATCACTGTTTTTGCAGAGGTGCTCAGAATACAACAGTCTAGAAGCATACACATATAAAGATACACAACATATCCCTCCAAACTGCCAATAAACATGCGTGTTGTAAAAGTCAACTAAAATGCCGGGAACAATGGGCTAGTAACCCCTTTTCCTGTAAAGATTACTAAAAAGAATAAGACTGAGCAAACTACTGCAATTATATTCTGCATTTGAGAGCATTCAAAATAAGAACTTTTACTTTTAGTTTATTAATAATGAATTTTCATGTCTATGACATAAATTGTGTAATCAAATAATTACAAATGCTTGTAAATTAATTCAGAATTAATAAAATTCAGGATTAATAAAATGGCAAAGCAGTCAACCTCTGAAAGATCTCCGTTCTTGACATGATGTTTAGCCATTGCCTGAAGCCAGGTGGTACGTAGCTCAGGAGTTGCAGCGTATGAAGCAGCCAAAGAATGCTGAAGGTCACAAAGCATCTCAGGATCCCTTTCATGCTCTCTCATCTGTGCAGTGGCAACCAACACAGTCCGAATCTTCTTTGTTAGGTCCCTTACTTCATTAACAAATCCTGAATAAAAATGAAATATGAATTATATCCCAAAAACTAAATATACAGTACTGCAAGTAAGCAATAATAACACTAGCATAAAAATAATCCTTATTAAATAACAAGACTTTTTTAAACTATAATCACCACTATAACTAGGTGAGAACAACTAGTCAGCAGATTTGTTATGCAGCAAATGCAGGAGTGAGTCTCCAATACTCCTGGTGCTGAATGACCAACACACTGGTTTAGCACTCCACATAAATATTACCATGATCACCATTATTTTCTGACACATCGTCTACCTCATCTTTTCCCATGCTAATTATATTGCATACCAACCAATCATCTTTTTATTTTATCCACATCAGCCATTTCCCACCAAGACAGGGTGACTCAAATAAAAAACCATATTCACCACTGTTTATTCAACAGCTATCTTTCTGGAATCATCATCTCACCTGTATTGTTCATAGCCTTGTCACTAGATGCATAACTATTGATAAGAGACATGGATTCTTGGAACCGTGAATAATTTAAGCCAATTATTTCTCCAAGAAGCTGCGAGACAGAGATGATCACCTGGAAAGGAAGGCTCTGTGAAATATGCAATCAGCGCAAACATTTACTTAATGTAATACGCATAAGCTGGACACGTACAGTAAAAAACTGATTAATGTGAACTGTACGACTGATTTACAGGGACTGTTCCTGTTAGTTTGGTAGCCTTAATGAGCTCCCCATACCTATCCTGAGGGTGGTAGTCAAAAGATTAGAAGCACATAATAGGCCCAAGGAAGTATGTGCCATATAGAGATATAGTGTTGGAGTAGTTGGTATTTTTGTTTATTATTAAACAAAAATACCAACTACATGGTCCCAAATACCATTCGTCTCCATTCACTCCTGTCTAACACACTCACGCACGCTTGCTGAAAGTCCAAACCCCTCGCCCACAACACCTCCTTTACCCCCTCCCTCCAACCTTTTTGAGGACGACCCCTACCCCGCCTTCCTTTCCCTACAGATTTATACGCTCTCCATGTCATTATACTTTGATTCATTCTCTCTAAATGACCAAACCACCTCAACAAACCCTCTTCAGCCCTCTGATTAATACTTTTATTAACTCCACACCGTCTCCTAATTTCCACACTCCAAATTTTCTGCATAATATTTACACCACACATTGCTCTTAGACAGGACATCTCCACTGCCTCCAACCGCCTCCTTGCTGCATCATTTACAACCCAAGCTTCACACCCATATAAGAGTGTTGGTACTACTATACTTTCATACATTCCCTTCTTTGCCTCCATAGATAACATTTTTTGCCTCCACATATACCTCAATGCACCACTCACCTTTTTTCCTTCATCAATTCTATGGTTAACCTCATCCTTCATAAATCCATCCGCTGATACATCAACTCCCAATTATCTGAAAACATTCACTTCTTCCATACTCCTCCTCTCCACTTTGATATCCAATTTTTCTTTATCTAAATCATTTGATACTCTCATCACTGTACTCTTTCTATGTTCACATTCAACTTTCTACCTTTACACACATTCCCAAACTCATCCACTAACCTTAGCAATTTTTCTTTAGAATCTCCCATAAGCACAGTATCATCAGCAAAAAGTAACTGTGTCACAACATATCCCTCCAAACTGGCCCAAACTGGGCCACTCTGCCTCGGTGGGATATGACTGGTTTTGTTGAAAGAAGAAAAGAAATATCTAAACACAATCATTTCCTCTCTCTTTATTCCCACCAATCTGATACCCAGTCTTTCATTGCCTGACCTTCTTATTCTCAACACTTTGCTCTTTTCTACCTCTATTTCAACTTTTTCTTCACAACCCCAACCATAAAACTAAATCTTGATTGGAAAAAAAAACATCTCTGCATCAAAGGCCTAGGAAGAGGAGAAGGTCAACCAGAAGTGCAGTGGTACCTCGGAATACGAACAGCTCAAAACTCAAACAATTGTGTAAGTGTATTTATGTAAGTGCTTTCGTAAGTGTATTTTTGGGGGTCTGAAACGGATTAATCTAATTTACATTATTCCTAATGGGAACAAATTCCTTCGATATTGGCACTTGAACAGCCTCCTGGAACAAAATAAATTCATATCCCGAGGTACCACTGTATTTGTCTTGTTCACACTAATACAGTACTCACCTCTTTCTCTATAGTATGGACCATTATGCGTCTTACACTCAGTATAGGACCCTTTTCAACAGATTTCTAAGAAAATTTTTTAGGTATGCTCAACTTCAGCTGGAAGCCCAGCAAAGCAACAAATCTGTCACTATTCGCAAAACAACAGCTGAGAAGATTGGAGAAAACCATGGACTCTAGGGGGTGCCTGACACAAAAATGCTTTTTGTTTCATATAAAAATATTGTTTTCTGTAGTAGTTCAAAAAGGTTTACCAAGAATCATACCATGAGCCATACCATCACAAGGGAAGGCAACTTAATTTTTACTTAAGTCTTGACTTAAATTTTGACTTCAGTATCCATTTAAGTCAAGACTTAGTCAAAGAAGGCAGCTGTTTATTGGTGCCTGAATCCTTGGGGCCTGCCATGCACACCACATCCAGTCAGAGAGAACGGCGATTTAGTCAAACTGCTGATAAGCATGCCGGACCAGTGCACATAAAGGAATCTCTGAACAGGGACCTGAACAAAATTCACACCAGGAAGAGGATAGCCACATTAGTCAAGGAAGCAGACCAACCCTGTCTCTGCCTTCACAACATGCACCAGAACAAGCCCCCAGCAGATAAGCCCCAAGCATAGTTGTTAAACACACATGGATAATCCACCAATGACAGGGCCCAGAGATAGGTCCAAAGAAAGGCACCTCCCAGCCCAACATCCCAGCTCCAAATTTTTTATTTAATTAGACAAGCACCTAGTCACAGCTGAGAGATGCAAAGTGGGCCTGGAAAGGAAGAGGTATATTTCACATCACATATTTAAAACCAATGCCCTGAAAAATAAAATAACCTTCTGAGGGGCCTGGCATGATGTCTCAAGAAATGCCATCACCTAAGAAAAAACCCTTTTGTAAATCATAGGATTTGAACCTATGGCAAGCAAATCCTAAAACCCCTTGGTCAACTGATTTGTTTGCAATCATGTTTGCAATCATGAAAGTGAACATAGAAAAGAGTAAGGTGATGAGGGTGTCAAATGATTTAGATAAAGAAAAATTGGATATCAAATTGGGGAGGAGGAGTATGGAAGAAGTGAATGTTTTCAGATACTTGGGAGTTGACGTGTCGGCGGATGGATTTATGAAGGATGAGGTTAATCATAGAATTGATGAGGGAAAAAAGGTGAGTGGTGCGTTGAGGTATATGTGGAGTCAAAAAACGTTATCTATGGAGGCAAAGAAGGGAATGTATGAAAGTATAGTAGTACCAACACTCTTATATGGGTGTGAAGCTTGGGTGGTAAATGCAGCAGCGAGGAGACGGTTGGAGGCAGTGGAGATGTCCTGTTTAAGGGCAATGTGTGGTGTAAATATTATGCAGAAAATTCGGAGTGTGGAAATTAGGAGAAGGTGTGGAGTTAATAAAAGTATTAGTCAGAGGGCAGAAGAGGGGTTGTTGAGGTGGTTTGGTCATTTAGAGAGAATGGATCAAAGTAGAATGACATGGAAAGCATATAAATCTATAGGGAAGGAAGGCGGGGTAGGGGTCGTCCTCGAAAGGGTTGGAGAGAGGGGGTAAAGGAGGTTTTGTGGGTAAGGGGCTTGGACTTCCAGCAAGCGTGCGTGAGCGTGTTAGATAGGAGTGAATGGAGACGAATGGTACTTGGGACCTGACGATCCGTTGGAGTGTGAGCAGGGTAATATTTAGTGAAGGGATTCAGGGAAACCGGTTATTTTCATATAGTCGGACTTGAGTCCTGGAAATGGGAAGTACAATGCCTGCACTTTAAAGGAGGGGTTTGGGATATTGGCAGTTTGGAGGGATATGTTGTGTATCTTTATATGTGTATGCTTCTAGACTGTTGTATTCTGAGCACCTCTGCAAAAACAGTGATAATGTGCGAGTGTGGTGAAAGTGTTGAATGATGATGAAAGTATTTTCTTTTTGGGGATTTTCTTTCTTTTTTGGGTCACCCTGCCTCGGTGGGAGACGGCCGACTTGTTGAAAAAAAAAAAAAAAAAAAAAAGTACATTCTGCAAATAATATTAATTAAAACAATGAATTCATTTACCTCACATCAGGTTAGTTTTGAAAACTGATGTTAGTTTCCTTTCTCTTATAATATGCTGTAGACTTATTAGTGTTGTTCCTAGACATGTTTAGATGCAAATCCGTATAATTTATCTGCAAACCTTCAAAATTTACTTACAAACTTTGATTTTAGATAAGCACAAGGTACCACACAAACATGAAAATAAAAATCCACATTTTTCACCACACTATATGAAAGCAATGGAGAATAACCATACTAAACCAAGCAGTCACATACTACACTAAAGATAAATGCATTTAATAAAAAAAATAATTTGGGAGGAAGATTAGTAGAGACAGTGGCTTACACTTTTTAGCTGATAATTTTTTTCTCATTTCACTAACCATGACCTTACACATTACCAGCCTTGGGCCCCAGGATATCAGGAAAAAGCCACCAGCCTCAAGAAGTTCAAAGACCCCTCTCAGAGGAAGGGCCCAGGAAATCACCCTGGAATATGTTAGGGTCAGCCCCTACCCATATGGAATGACCAAACTGCAGTCAGTTGTGGAGGTCCATTTCACACCCCACACATTAAACATCATCCCCAGGCAATCCCTGCAGAAACAGAGGAGTTAACCCATAAGTGACAAACTACTTTAGTGAGCAGTACTGAAGGGGCCCCTATACCTAGCATAAGATGAGAGAAGGACCCTGCTAGGACTAGAGTGAGTTTTGGAGTGAATGAGATATGACATTCCAGTGTGAGGTAGCCTGGGATCAGAGAACAGAAAGCATTATTTCCCAAACCGGTTATACTCCCAGATGCTTTGATATTAACCAGACATGACTTGGTCTGGCCAAGCTGCATTTTCATTTACAATTTACAATCCATGACTAGGTTACAGAATGGGGGAGGGGGGAGGGGGGGAGGGGTGTAAAATATGAACTTTGATATTCCTATGAGAGAAAAACTCTTATCAGACATGTTGTGCTTGTACCTGTAAATGCACTCTGTTGATGCCCGTTCGTCTAGTGAACTCGTAGTTACTCCTCATTAGCAGGTAAAGTACAGCACAGGCTTCATGGCGTAGGTTGGTCAGCTTACTGTTGCAGCACTTGAGCATCTCAAAACAGAGAGACCCACACAGTGAAGCATCACCTGACATTGGGTGAGGAGGGTTATGTGTTGCAGCAATGAATAAACAAGAACTGGAAAACCTATGCAAGATGACAGTTAGCAAAGTTCATAACATGGACAAGACAGAAACCAAAAGCAGAGCAATAATTTAAACAAAGTGCAGCTAGCAAAGTGAAGCTTAAGATAAAGCAGAAAAATCAAACTAAATGAGCCAGGTGCTATGATGCTTCAACAAATACAAAAGCCTGTTGCAACATACATATTACTCTAAGTTCTTCTTAGCGATAACAACTGATCTCAATGACACTGACTAACAAATCACAAGTAGGAAGAACTGTTAAACTTTATAAAATTCACAACTAACATACAATTGGAGAAAAATCTTAAGACAAAGTCCATCCTGAACTTGGAAACTTGACAATGGCCAGGATGCACCAAAACAATTTACCTCCAAATTTGTAAGTCAGTTTTAAATTGTTCCAACCACGGAACTGTGACTTTCACTTTCAATTAAAAATGTCCTTTACAGAGCTGGAATAGTTTCAACTCCTTATCTACATGAATAATACATCTAGCCCTAATTAGATAACTCTAAATTTTTTAATTAAATTTAACCAATAATTTTTGTAATATAGGATGGGGTCCACCTCTACTGCAAATTGTGGGGACCCATAACCTAAGAGAAAGAGATAAAAAGGCTTCAAGGAAAAATATTTTTTGGGCTTCCTGAAGGCATTTGAATATTCAACTTCTCCTATCACCCCATCTTTTTGCTATTTCATCAATAGGTATATTTTATTACGAAATATGTTTATCAACAAAGCATTCAAAGAAATGCAATATTTTTGACAAATTTACTTCCAACTATATATAAAAGATGATACTCAAAACTTAATCCTTTACACGGCATATAAAACAAAACCTCTAGCAGCATCATACCTTGGAAGAGGGTCCGTGGGAAATTATTTATGAATGCCCTGAGAGAGGCAAACACGTGCTTCATTAAACTCTCTGACTGTCCAAGCTGCAGATAAAGCAGATGTAATGAAAACACCTGCTGCATAATAACTTCAGCCCCATCAGATGTAAGGATGTCACTACAGTGGGTGGTAAAGTTACCAAGTGCATCAAGTACAATAAGGCCAACTTCTGTTGCTAGATTAGCCTCCTGCAGAGCCTTTAACCAGCCTTCTCCTTCATGGCTGCTCACTGAGGAAAGTAATATAGTTTCACTATGGGGATGACAAAATCTGAAACTTGTTTACAGGCCCTTTACACACCAAGAGATTACCTTAAATTTTAGAAAAAATTTAAACTGCATTTTTCCTGACATTAACAACTTCCAAGCACACTTGCTAAGAATGAGAATTTTTTTTATCAAAAAAAGCAAAATTTGAGCTTTTTCTGGCATGAAATACAATAACTTACCTACTATAAAATGGTAACACATACAGATGTTTGTAACACATACAGAAGAGTAAAAATCCAACCACAACCTATGGTAGGTATCTGCTATATGCAGACACCTATCAAGATATCTTGAATTCTTGACTATAATCAAACTGGGAGCAGGCTCCAAGTATAACCGACACTGTTACAGGCAGCTCTCAAATGGGTCCTAGTTCTGGGTCAATTGTTGAACAAGTGTCAACAACTAGATGAGTCTCAAGGAATCATTTAAGGCTATACTTGATGCCTACATCCATCCTCTACAACAGTGCATGGATCGTACCAAGGATCACATACATTCCATTATTCTGATGAGTCACTACCAGAATCAACAAGGTTTGTAGATTTTACAACTACCTAAGAGTGTTGACCCATTCAGACAGAAGAACGTTTCTCCTCAGCTTTATTAAAGGCTAATGCCAGTTCCTTTCCTATAGCTTCACAGCCCTCTTGTATCAGGTTATGCGAGGTTTTACTGTTTGGCTATCAAGTGTTTTTCTTAGAAACTGTCTCTTCAGTTTTTAGTCTCTCTTCCTTACTTCCATCATGTTCACCAGTGAGCACAATTAAAATATGTTGTGGTCTACACATAATAGAGCAGAAAGGCAAGAAAATGTTACTCATGGGTATTTCTATCTTTAAAAATATGTTAAAATAATGAAAAATGGCAGACTCACCACTATAATTGTCGGTTGCTGTGGACATTCTACTATTAGAGTAGGGAGGCTGTAACTTTGCTGGCAAAGTTGAAGCTCTCTTTGGTCCCTGTTCCCTCACTATCTGCCTCTTTCCACTGTATTTGAAGTGATGTAAGCATAACCTGCAAGTGATGTCAAGGAAATGATGTAGGCATAACCTTTAAGCAATGTCATGGAGAAATGAACAAATGTTCTTATAATTTATTAGTATTTTAAGGTCAGTTCAGGAAAAGTTCTCCACATGATACTTAATTAAAACTTAAGACTATACAATGTTTTACAAAACAATGAAGCTCAATAATTTTTACAATAATAATAAAAATACAAAATGTATGAAAGAGGGGAAGGTACCTAGGGATTGGCAGAGAGCATGTATAGTTCCTTTATATGAAGGGAAGGGGGACAAAAGAGATTGTAAAAATTACAGGGGAATAAGTTTACAGGTATAGTAGGTTGGAAGACAGCAACCACCCAGGGAGGCACTACCGTCCTGCCAAGTGAGTGTGAAACGAAAGCCTGTAATTGTTTTACATGATGGTAGGATTGCTGGTGTCTTTTGTCTGTCTCATAAATATGCAAGATTGCAGGTACTTCTTGCTACTTCTACTTAGACTTAGGTCACACTACACATACATGTACAAGCATATATATACACACACCCCTCTGGGTTTTCTGCTATTTTCTTTCTAGTTCTTGTTCTTGTTTATTTCGTCTTATCTCCATGGGGAAGTGGAACAGAATTCTTCCTCCGCAAGCCATGCGTGTTGTAAGAGGCGACAAAAATGCCATGGAGCAAGGGGCTAGTAACCCCCTTCTCCTGTATATATTACTAAATGTGGAATACAGCCGGTGTGTTGAAAGAAAGATCCATGGGGAAGTGGAATAAGAATCTTTCCTCCGTAAGCAATGCGTGTTGTAAAAGTCAACTAAAATGCCAGGAACAATGGGCTAGTAACCCCTTTTCCTGTAATAATTACTAAAAAGAATAAGAAGAAGAAAATTGTCAAAGTGGGAAGTCTGAATGTGCGTGGATGTTGTGCAAATGATAAGAAAGAGATGATTGTGAATGTTATGAATGAGAAAAAGCTGGATGTCCTGGCTTTAAGTGAAACAAAGCTGAAGGGGGTGAGAGAGTTTCAGTGGAGAGGAATAAATGGGATTAGGTCAGAGGTTTCAAATGTTTCAGTGGAGAGGAATAAATGGGATTAGGTCAGAGGTTTCAAATGGAGTTAGAGCTAGAGAAGGAGTAGCAATAATGTTGAAGGATAAGTTATGGCAGAAAAAGAGGGACTATAAATGTATTAATTCAAGGATTATGTGCAGTAAAATAAAGGTTGGATGTGAAAAGCGGGTTATAGTAAGTGTATATGCACCTGGAGAAGAGAGAAGTGTAGAGGAGAGAGAAAGATTTTGGAAAATGTTGAGTGAATGTGTGGGGAGTTTTGAACCAAGTGTGAGAGTAATGGTGGTTGGGGATTTCAATGCTAAAGTGGGCAAAAATGTTGTGGAGGGAGTAGTAGGTAAATTTGGGGTGCCAGGGGTAAATGAAAATGGGGAGCCTTTAATTGAGCTATGCATAGACAGAGGTTTGGTAATAAGTAATACATATTTTATGAAGAAGAGGATAAATAAATATACAAGGTATGATATAGCACGTAATGAAAGTAGTTTGTTAGATTATGTATTGGTGGATAAAAAGTTGATGGGTAGGCTCCAAGATGTACACGTTTATAGAGGGGCAACTGATATATCGGATCATTATTTAGTTGTAGCTACAGCTAGAGTAAGAGGTAGATGGGAAAAGAGGAAAATGGCAACAACAAGCGAGAGGGAGGTGAAAGTGCATAAACTAAGGGAAGAGGAAGTTCGGGTGAGATATAAGCAACAATTGGCAGAAAGGTGAGCTGGTGCAAGTATGAGTAGTGGGGGGGTTGAAGAGGGTTGGAATAGTTTTAAAAATGCAGGAAGAAGTTTGTGGTTATAGGAGGGTGGGTGCAGGAGGAAAGAGGAGCGATTGGTGGAATGATGAAGTAAAGGGAGCGATAAAAGAGAAAAAGTTAGTTTATAAGAGGTTTTTACAAAGCAGAAGTGTTATAAGAAGAGCAGAGTATATGGAGAGTAAAAGAAAGGTGAAGAGAGTGGTGAGAGAGTGCAAAAGGAGAGCAGATGATAGAGTGGAATAGGCGCTGTCAAGAAATTTTAATGAAAATTAAGAAAATTTTTTGGAGTTAAACAAGTTAAGAAAGCCTAGAGAACGAATGGATTTGTCAGTTAAAAACAGAGTAGGGGAGTTAGTAGATGGGGAGATGGAGGTTTTGAGAAGATGGCGAGAATATTTTGAGGAACTTTTAAATGTCGACGAAGAAAGGGAAGCGGTAATTTCATGCACTGGCCAGGGAGGTATACCATCTTTTAGGAGTGAAGAAGAACAGGATGTGAGTGTGGGGGAGTTGCGTAAGGCATTACGTAGAATGAAAGGGGGTAAAGCAGCTGTAAATGACGGGATCATGACAGAAATGTTAAAAGTAGGGGGGGATACTGTTGGAGTGGTTGGTATTTTTGTTTAATAAATGTATGAAAGAGGGGAAGGTACCTAGGGATTGCCAGAAAGCATGTATAGTCCCTTTATATAAAGGGAAGGGGGACAAGAGATTGTAAAAATTATAGAGAAATAAGTTTACTGAGTATACCAAGAAAAGTGTACGGTACGGTTATAATTGAAAGAATTAGAGGTAAGACAGAATGTAGGACTGCGGATGAGCAAGGAGGTTTCAGAGTGGGTAGGGGATGTGTAGATCAAGTGTTTACATTGAAGCATATATGTGAACAGTATTTTGATAAAGGAAGGAAAGTTTTTATTGCATTTATGGATTTAGAAAAGGCATATGATAAGAGTGGATAGGGGAGCAATGTGGCAGATGTTGCAAGTACAGTGGACCCCCGCTTAACGATCACCTCCAAATGCGACCAATTATGTAAGTGTATTTATGTAAGTGCGTTTGTATGTGTATGTTTGGGGGTCTGAAATGGACTAATCTACTTCACAATATTCCTTATGGGAAAAAATTCGGTCAGTACTGGCACCTGAACATACTACTGGAATGAAAAAAGTTCGTTAACCGGGGGTCCACTGTATATGGAATAGGTGGTAAGTTACTAAATGCTGTAAAGAGTTTTTATGAGGATAGCGAGGCTCAGGTTAGGGTGTGTAGAAGAGAGGGAGACTACTTCCTAGTAAAAGTAGGTCTTAGACAGGGATTTGTAATGTCACCATGGTTATTTAACCCTTTCAGGGTCAAGAGGCCCTCTCCAAAACTCGTTCTCAGGGTCGAAAATTTTTCAGAAAAAAAAATTATTTTTTCTTATGAAAAGATAGAGAATCTTTTCCAGATCATAATGACACTAAAAGTTTGAAATTTGATGGAAAACGTATGGAATTATGCTCTCACAAATAAGCGGTCTCGATGATGTTTACGCATCGGCGATTTCGCCCACTTTGAGCCCTATTTTCGGCCAATTCCAGTGTACTAGTCGACAAAAATCATAACTACAGTGGTCCCTCGTTTATCGTAATTAATCCGTTCCTGGAAGTGGTACTATTATCAAAATTTACGATTTTCGAATCAATTTTCCCCATAAGATATAATGTAAATACATGTACAATTAATCTGTTCCTGACACCCAGAAGTACTAAAACAAAAAATTTTTTTACATGAAATATAGATGTCGCACATAAACAATACAATGGGACATGATGAATGAAACATTAACAGCATAACACTTACCTTTACTGGCGATTCTTCTTAGAGTATGGAAGATTGGAGGAGAGAGATTGGATTATTTACAGTTTGGAAGGGGAATCCCCTTCCATCAACACGTCAGGTACCAAGTGCTTTTCTGGGATTACTTCTCTGTTTCTTAATGCCACTAGGACCACCTTGAGAGTCACTGGAGTCCTGTCTAGCAAAATAACTGTCCAGAGAGCTCTGTTTCTGGCGTCTCTTTAACACCTTCCTAAAAGAGGCCAAGACCTTGTCATTGTACATGTTGCCAACATGGCTTGCAACAGCCTTGTCAGGGTGATGTTTCTCCATAAATCTTTCCATCTTACCCCACATTTCAAAAATCTCCTTAATTTCTCAAGAAGGCACCTTCATCCATCTCTCTTCCTCCTTCTCTGCAGCAAGATTCTGAGCTGTGATCTGTTGCTCTTCCTGCTGAAGCTCTTGCAGCTCCTCAGTGGTGAGCTCTTCGTTGTGGTCTTCTACCAACTCTTCCACATCCACCAAACTCACATCCAACCCCATGGAACTCCCCAGTGCCACAATAGATTTAACAAATGACACAGGCTCATCAGGGTCAGCCCCAAACCCTTCAAAATCCCTCTTGTGGACACAATCTGGCCACAATTTTCTCCAAGCAGAGTTCAAAGTCCTGGTAGTCACTCCCTCACAAGCCTTACCTATATGGCTTATGCAATGGAGAATGCTGAAGTGTTCTCTCCAAAAATCTCTTAGGGTCAAGTGAGTGTCTAAGGTCACATTAAAGCACCTTTGAAACATTGCTTTCGTGTAGAGTTTTTTAAAGTTTGCAATGACTTGCTGGTCCATGGACTGGAGGAGAGGAGCGGTATTCGGGGGCAAGAACTTTACTGTGATGAACCCAAACTCCTCTAAAATTAGGTCATCAAAGTTTGGAGGATGAGCAGGTGCATTGTCCATTACTAGGAGGCACTTGAGATCTAATTTCTTTTCCAGGAGGTAATTCTTCACACTAGGGCCAAACACTTCATTGAACCACTCGACGAAAATTTCCCTCGTGACCCATGCCTTACTATTAGATTTCCAAAACACACACAATTTACTCTTCATAACATTGTTTTTCCTGAACACTCTGGGATTTTCAGAATATTACACTAGTAACAGCTTCACTCTGAAATCCCCATTAGCATTAGCACAGAACATGAGCGTCAGCCTGTCTTTCATAGGCTTGTGTCCTGGCAGTGCCTTTTCCTCCTGAGTAATGTAGGTCCTCTTTGGCATTTTCTTCCAAAAGAGGCCTGTTTCATCACAATTGAACACTTGTTCAGGTTTCAGTCCTTCAGCCTCTATGTACTCCTTGA